GAACTAATCAGAGTCGAACAGTTCAATGGCTGCCGACGTGCGATGCGATTTTTTTCGACGATAAGCACTTGACTTTACCGATAGCGACTTTACGATAATAGAGAATACTAAGAAATAAATACACTAAATACCCAACCCCTTAGAAATGGGTACAATTACAGCCAGCCACGAAACAAGACAATCTCTCTCTCTCTCTCTCTCTCTCTCTCTCTCTCTCTCTCTCTCTCTCTCTCTCTCTCTCTCTATCTCTAAATCGAACCTGTTGGCAAAAAACTACTACTACACCGAGCCGATGTGACGGTACTTCCTAGAACACGTCGTAGTTACGATAGACAATAAATCGTCTGTTCCGCATAGCACAGCCATCTAGGCGAAATGACCTGGCCATGCATAGAGAGACACTAGAATATGCTGAAAGCCCAAGAAAATTTGACCCCAGCCAAGGAGCTACATATAACATAAGGAGCTGGTATATGTAGCTCCTTGACCCCAGCGAGCGACGATAGCGCCCCTACCGAACTAGACCGGGAGCCCAGGGGGGCCAGCCTAGCTGGAAAGAAAACCAATTTTCATGTATATAGCAATGATTCATATACATACCCATGTAAGGATATGGACGTCTGCCGGGCACCCTGCTGCGGGTGTGGTGAGTGGTGTCATTTAAAAGGCAATCCAAAATTGAGCTAGATTAGCTGGAGAGAAAACCCCATGAAGCCTATTGGAAAATGTTCGCATCCTCATTGACACACGCGCTGCAGGACTGATGCTGACTAATTACGTGACACGTGCCTCCCTACCTTCTCTACCTGTCAACCTCACTCCTCAGTGGCCGTGGCGACGTCTGTGTGAAGAAGGCGAGAGAGAGAGATGGGGATATATATAGAGGGAGAGTGAGGGGGGGAAGAGAGAGAGAGAGAGAGAGAGAGAGAGAGAGAGAGAGAGAGAGAGAGAGAGAGAGAGAGAGGCATGCTTGCTATGTATCCGTGAGTAATCTTAGACGATTAGGGAGAATCATTTACGACCGAACAATTTAGACGATCGCTTGATTCGATTCGTGAGAGAGAGCCATCATTGTCGGTTCTCTCCGTCCGTCCGCTCGTCCGTCGGCGGGGGGTCATGAACCTGTCGGCGTCGCCTTCCGCGAGCCGATGAACTAATCAGAGTCGAACAGTTCAATGGCTGCCGACGTGCGATGCGATTTTTTTCGACGATAAGCACTTGACTTTACCGATAGCGACGGCTCGCGTGTTCTCGAGTTTTACTTAGTCTAGTGTACCGTTATTAAACCAATACTGCACACCCGAGCGCGTGCGCACGGACACGCACGCATACTTAGTCTAGTGTACCGTTATTAAACCAATAC